CGCGTTCATGGGTTAATCATCCCTCCACAGCCTTCTTAGATTGCACGACGCGCCACCTATAGGCCGTGGGCATTCCGAAAACATACCGTATCCAGAAGCGCGCAAGCGATTGGTTCTTGCCCAAAAGGGCACTTACGCTGAAGCGGTGCGAAGGGAAGGCACCGCCAACGGTCTCTGTAGGCACACAGGTCGAACTCCAGGACCTAGTGGCCACGGTCCGTCGCCCAGACAAGAGCGAAAAAAAAGACACCAAGTGCCTTCTTTCAGGGAGGCCCCAAAACCTCGACCAGTGTTGGTGTTAGCCAACCTAATGTCGAGGCAAAAGAGGTATCAAACACGGTGCCGAGTAGCCTGCCTCACTTGAGGAGGCCAGCATCCTCGCCGGGCACCAACACTGTTGAGCACCCTGGTGGTGCTGAATCCATGGACGTGAGTCTATCGGACACTGAAAGCCTGAAGACCCTGCTCTAACTAGCAGGCGATCAGGCAGCCCATCATTCTTCCCTGCCAAAGAGAGAAGGGAGCCGAAACACATTTTCGGCCCCACAAAAAAAGAAGTGACAAAGCACACGGATAGTGTCGCTTTTTAGCTTATGCACAAGTAACTCAAAATACTAAGTTTTATACACATCATTTCACGTAATGGCATACATCATCCATTGGAACTGCAGAGGCATGACACGAAACTTAAGCGACATTAAGGACATATTTACAAGCTTCTCTCCTGTGGCGTTATGCTTGCAGGAGACGAATCTGGGACCAAAAAAAAAATTGCCCGCAGCTTCCCTCGGGGGAACACTGAGGAGATGCGGACCATATAACTGGTTAACGGGGTGTTAAAGTGCGACTTACTTGGGTCGATGGCTAAGTTGGTTAACGTGGTTGTGAAATGGGGTGTTAAATTGCGACTTACTTGGGTCGATGGCTAAATTGGTTAACGTGGTTGTAGGAGGGGGTGTTAATGAGTGAACACGTACACACGTATGCGAAAGGGCGGCGCTGGTCGAAGGGACGTCGATCATTGTGTTTGTGGATTCGTTGGAATTCATTTCACCGCGACCTTGGACGTCGACGCGCCGTACAAACCAACCGACGAGCGGCAACTGAGCGAGCGAGCGCCGACCTTGAGTATATAAATAGCACGACACGACGGCTCATGCACTGTCAGCTGTTGAATGTTCTCGAAGCGCGACGCCACATGCGCGTCCACTGGAGAACATGAGAATTGTAGATGTCGAACGCGGTGTGTAGAGGAGGAAGGGTGCACAGATGGTGGAGGAGTGAAGCGCGCGCGGTGTGTAGAGGAGGAAGGATGCACAGATGGTGGAAGAGTGGGCGACGGCGCGACGGCGCATGCGCGCGCGTCAGCTGTCGAATGTTCGAGAAGCGGTGCGGGACGGCGCCTACAGGCGCGAGTATAAGATGCTCCGCATCTAAAAACACCAAAATACTAAAAGGTTACACTGTTATACGTCGCGACCGCTCGCAAAGCAACCGGCTGTCGGGTGGCGTCGCCATTGTTGTCCAAAGTGGTATTGCAGTAAGAGAAGTTATAGTTAACAGTTTCATTGAAACGGCTGCAGTCACCATTTTATCACATAAAACTATCACTATTTGTTCCATATACATTCCACCTCATACACATTTTACTGTAAAAGATCTAGAATTGATTGCAGAACAGCTACCTAAACATTTTTTAATGGCAGAAGATTTCAATGCGCACAACATACTATGGGGTAGTGTAAAGACAGACAGTAGAGGGCAGGTAATTGAAGATTTTATTCTTACTAACAATGTGTGTCTTTTAAACACTGGATCACCAACATACTGCTCTCCAGGCACAGGAACCATGAGTTGCTTGGATTTGGCACTGTGCTCTAGCTCACTGATTGCTGATTTTACATGGGAAACAATAAACAATCCTTACGGTAGTGACCACCTATACCGTCGATTGTAAAACTAATATCACCACATGTTGAGTGGATCCTTCCGAACGAAAAAAAGGGGGGGGGGGAGAAGGAGGAGGGGTCTTTTTGCGACAGAGTTCAAGCGCCCGCATAATAATGGACCTAATAGTAGTAGAATAGTGGGCTGCGATGGAGAAGTCCAAGGCTCAAATCCCATTCCATACTGGATACGTGCTAGTGGTTACGGACAGCGGCTGACAAATACGGCACCAAAAGTGCCATTACGATCTCATAACAGCTTTCGCTGTAAAACTGTGTACAGAAGCACCGGCTCATGCAGGAGATACAAGGTTATGATCAATCTTATAAATGACGTAATACTAACCTGTAATGGTGCAAACAAACCATTTTATGAATGTGTCTAAGTTTCACCATGTGCGATGTTAATGCTGTCACTGAAGCAGAAGGGAGATGAAAGCCAAGGTCGCCTTTACAAGATGGGCGGCTCATTACCGAGCGCCGGGCTAATGTACGCCTATTCCATCCAGAAAACTGTTGTCTGCTAAACAACACAATCAATCGAACCCAGTATGTCCAGTAGTGGAGGCCTATGCTGAGCCCTTCCGTCACCACCAGTCACCACTGTGGTTGGAGGGTGTACAGGCACGCAGCCAATCCATTTCCCCTCATGCACCACGTAAGTCTACATAGCCTCCTCTATCTGCCTTCTGGAACACTACTGCAATTCGCCTTCCTAGCGCATTACGCCGTATATACTTAGATACGATGCGTTAGAAATGCGATACGGTCGGTGCCCCGGCCACTTATCACATTCAGGCAAACGGGATAATTCATAGGGAATGAAGGAGACTGCAAGCTCCACAGGTCATGAGCATAGCTGAAAAGCGAAAGAAAGTAAAATAAAAATCTCAACAATGGCGTGTGGACAGCCTACATGATAACGCATGCCTTCGCTGTGTCTGCCATTAGTTCTGCCACTCAGCTGCATATCCGATAATTTGAAGGTCAAATAAAAGAATTCCATCAGGCGCGCCGGCACAAAAACAAAACAAGAATATCTGTATTATGGCGGACGATATGACCGTTCTTGTCACTCAAGTATCGCTCGTGCCGCAAATAAACGATGCAAGAGAGGCTATACATATGACTGAAAACGCAATGATTGTGAGTTTAGCTAATAATGTAGCCCGCATTGCGCTCCAAAAGATTATTTTCGAAGAATAATTACTAAGGATGCATGTAATGTGTATCCTGCGCAAGCGTTTCTTCATAAATATTAATTACGATAATAATTATAATTATCGCTTTGATTGAAGTGTTACGCTAACTTGTGTTTTAGAAAACATGTGTCAGCGTCACACATTTCGCTCCTTTCTTCCAGTCCGGAACTTGTCGAAGGGTCGCATAGGCAATTCAGAGAATTGGGAGCCGTGAAATAACGTGTTAAGCCATAATCCTGAGCAGAAACCATGTTTTCTTTTTATTGAGGGAGAGGCAGGGAGTCAGGGAACACTTGCTTAGTGTTGTTTTGTTTCTGACAATGAATTTGTTCTTGAGAGAGGCCTTGAGAGGCAAAAATTTAGGGGTAATTCTCGCCTCGCTATCTTGGCGGCGCCACTGCCGGAGTCACGCTCGAGCAGGTTTCTAAATAGAAATTATTTCAAATTATTGGTGTTTCGCCATGGTGGAACAATGGTTATGGTGCGAGGCTGCTGGCCGAAGATCACGGGTTTTATCTCGGCCGCAGAGAGGACATTTCGATGAAGACGAAACACGTGAGGCCCCCGTACTTTAGATTTAGGTGCACGTTGAAGAAAATCAAGCACAAAAAGTTTGCAAGGACCTCCACATACGGCGTTCCTCATAATCATATGGTAGTACGGTACGTAAAACTACTACTACTACTACTACTACTACTACTACTACTACTACTACTACTACTACTACTACTACTACAGGTCACAAAGTGGAAACTCCCATTATGTGTAGCCACTATCATCTGGCACCCATAATCGTGTAAAAGCGTCTGCGTCAGTAATTTACATAAGTGCCGAACGAAACAGTATCAACGTGACATTTAGAAACGCACGCCCATGACTTCTGAACCGATACGGGCGATTGACAAGCAATGTACGCACATAGTAACCTCAGTGCACGTCCCTGACCGCACGCCGACCACTCACTTGCCCAACTGATAATGTTCATTCCAGTCGCGAGTAGTATGATAAACGAAAATGTGTAACCGCTACTGTTTCTCGGGCACTCGGACGATAAGAGATCGCGTATGGCTGACGCGGACTGGTCTATTGTCTTCGATGTGGGTGTCTTTCTCGAACTATCGGGTTGACGCTACTTATAAAATTGCGTGTGGATCCCCGTTGAACCACTGCCGCCGGTCCTTTCAATCACAATGGCCCGTCACTGCTCCCTTCTCGCTTTTTGCCTCGTCGCTGTTGTGGCTCCAGCCGCCCGCGGTGACCTTACCCAAGTACAAGTCGAGCAATGCTCATGTAAGGACGTCTCCATTGCTATTCGCTTACATTTGCGCACAGGTCAAATCTTTCTCACTGACATTGCTGTTTACTTGCCCTTTATCGCGAGTACAGGCACTGTTAGAGAACTTGGTAGAGGGTTGGCTGTTTCGGTGTAAATATAGTGAGCGGAAATTCATTAAGATGAACGGTAACACTGGTGTCATCCGCCACGGTGGTCGACAGTTGACCCGAAGGTCGCAGGATCGATACCGACCGCATTTCGACAGAAGCGAAATGCTCGAAGTTCAGCGACACCAAATTTCAAACTTGAAACGTGGCGTTCATTCGATTGCTTGATACGCACGATTTTCTAAGCGAAGTATGAATCGCGCACGTGGCGTATGTTAATCTATTTCGATCGGCGATGGCTCATCGGTGCGTTACCGGTCATGAGACATCGACGGTATTTGTACGTGTTCAGCTGGTTCAGCAAACCACCAATGCCGCCAATGTGCATGTGGCTACCATTTTGGTGGCGCCGGCTTCACCAAACAATTGGGCGCTCACGTGCGCGCATTGAGGAAACTCGGAGTGATACTACAGTGTACTAGAATATACACTATAGTGATACCGTGACGCCTGGCGAATGCGCGAACAGACCAACTTCTCATTTACTCACTACTCATTTTTTTCCCTGTGGCGCATGACACGCCCGCAATGTGTCAAAAGGCAATACGAACAATTACTTTCTTCCTTACTTACTTACTTTGTTTCTCTTGCTTCGAAGAGCGTGTTCGTGTTAATCCAGCGATTTCCTTGTGCCGCTTCGGTTCATTTGTCGCGGAGTAGTGATTGCGAATGTGATAATTTGAAGCCACAGTCATCGGGAGCAAGTAACACGCATGCAGCGTTCATGTCTCCTACCAGCCAGCGTGTCTCAGGCGTGCGTCTCCAGCTGCCACGTCGCTGCATGGTCTAGTGTCGATTTCAATATCGCTACTCGGAAGAGGATGGAACCGAAAATGATTCGCCATGCCACGAATAACCGCGATTCCGTATTATTCGGGGTTTTCATCGTCATTTGCGGATGCTGATGACGGCGGTGACCATGGCAGCGACGACAGCGGGGGTGGCAAAGCCACGTGCACGCTGAGCAGACGAAATGTCAACTGAGCACAACGTCACCATTTCGTACGGCCACGTGATAAGACGGGGCGGGACCGTGGGGAGTGACCGCTTGGCAGTGCTGGCAGCGCCGAAAATTGGCGGGCTTTGCAGCCGTTTTGAATTGGGTTCAACACTGGTCGTACTAATCAATATTACATATATTAATTCGCCCCTTTGTTGCATTATTAGTACCGACTTGTTAGAGTGTCGATAACTCGACATGCGTAAAGTTGGTGTCACTGCTCTTTTAAAGACCTTGCTGACCCGCAGGTCGCAAGTTCGAATCTCAGCTTCGGCGGCTGCATTCCCGGTGGAGGCGGAAATGCTTTAGGCCCGTGTGCTCAGATTTGGGTGCACCTTAAAGAACCCCAGGTGGTCTACATTTCCGGAGCCCTCCACTACGGCATCTCTCATAATCATATGGTAGTTTTGGGACGTTAAACCACACATATCAATCAATCAATCTTTTAAAGACCACCAGACAGCCAAAATTTCTGGACTACTCCACTATACGGCGACTTTCGTAATCATATCACAGTTTTCAGGGACGCGACAGCCCTGCAATTATGATTATTTATATGTAACACTGGTGTCAAACGGTTACTTTTCATTGCAATCGGCCCTGATACCTATCAAACTTCTTTATCAGTGATCGGCTTCTTTACGCAAACTGTAGAGGGGAGCCTGTCACTCTGGAGAAATTCGATCGGGCTTAATCGCGGTCAGCAATGCTCCGTGTTACACCGTTATAAGACAGACAAGATGAGATACTTCAATGTCGCCTCGAACACATCTTTTTGTTGAATTTCGCGCTTTGCATTCCACTTTCAGCCTTGCACCATCTGAGGCTACATACACTGTAAGGGCTTTCCTTGCAAAAATTTCAGTTACATTAATTACGATTTCGCAGGTACATTGATTTTTCTAGTAGAATATAGTAGAGGGTAGCAAATGAGGTGTTGCGTCTATTGATGTAAAAAAACAAACAAACGAAAGAATACATAATTCAGGTTGCGATTTAATAAGCGTGCATATATAGACTCTGGTCCCGCATTTCCCTATGCATAGTGTTTCCTATCACTATTTTCAAGGAATACTAGCTGAAGTTTTACGTCCCTAAACCACAATATGATTATGAGAGGCGCCGTAGTAGGGGCCTTCGGAAATCTTGACCATCTGGTGTTCTTTAACGTGCACTGATACCTCACAGTACACGGACCTCTATAATATCGCTTTCATCAAAACGACCACCACTGCCTGGATCGTACCTGCCACCTTCGGTTCAGCATTCGGGCACCCTAACCGCTACACTACCGCGGTAGACTGCGGTTCAGGAATGTCGGGAAAAAAGAAAACGACAGGGAGAAGAATAGAGAAGGTCTTGATATGCTAATCGCGTTCTAGACTTCTTGCCATCTACTAGACGTTTTGTACAGCTGTCTGTGGTCACACAAAGAGGATGGTCGCAGAAATGACACCAACGTATTTTTTTCTACGCAGCTGGATCCACGAGCAACGTGGACGCTGTTCGCATTAGCCACTGTGCCACGCTGCCATGCACAGTAACGCTGGAGGACAAGCCCAAGGTTGAGATCGACTTCCGCGCAGGTAAGGAAGACACACATCAAAGGACTCGTAAACAAGCTCTGAAAGTATAAAGGCTGAGCGCGTTACTATTTCCTGGAATTTCCCGTCTCTTTGGAACGATTCGTGACGCCGGCAGTCTGTTCACGTGACGTCATGAGGAAACAATGTTTTGATTGGTACACACACGAGGGATATTCGTCGTTAATCATGCCCTGCACGCTGCTTTCCCATGCCCTTTATGCCTCGTCTCACATGACTATGGCGCACTATCATTGGATTTCACTTCGTATTGCGCGTTTTTGACAGCGCAAGTAAAGCTAACGGCATGTAGCTGGAAAGCGTGAAATCTCGATAGGCTCAGCTCTTAGTGCCGATACTGTCCCCGTGTTTTATGAAATAAGAGAACTTCTCTCTATAGTCTTTAAAACGCAGACTGGTGTACGCACACAGGGCTTGTTCCCATTGCAACAGCAGCTGTGCATTTTTTGGTCCGACGTTGACTTGAATCACGTTGACTGAAGTAACTGCGCCTCGACGTATTGATCACTGAAGAAGATGGGAGACCGTATTATTAAAGTGCTCTGTAAGCCAATGTTATCAAGGTTCGATTCACGGCACAGCGTGACATGTCTATCGCCTGGAACTATACTCGCTAAGACCGACCGCTCTGGTGAGAATCGCGAACAAAACTTGAGATATGTAGTATTTGACTTGTGGGTGCCAAGGTGTCAGGTTCCCGAATTAAATTGTGTAGTACAAGTATGCCACTATCTACATTCGAGCACAGGTGCGTAGCTATATTTAGTCCATTCATTACGTTTCTTGTTTTTATAATATTAAAATAAATGTGAGTAGCATTCTTTATTACCAAAACTTCTTTTTTACTAGTTAGTATACCGATAATTGTGCAATTTGTAAAGCGTATTTTGACAAAACGACAGGAAACGTATTTATGCGTAATTCGGAGGTGAACTTATCGTACGAAAAGAATTTTCGCATGCTATGTTTATTGTATAGAGAATTATATTGCTGTGCATGGTCTGTTAAAACATGTGCTATATATATGAACTTGCATAGTAAGTGGTAGTGTACAATCAAATGCAAATAAACTACTATGTTGAAAACTGCGTGCTATCACAGACATTATTTCACTCTAATTTAGTTCATATAAGTTGACGTGTTTTGAACTCTTTTTCTCTAATATTCTTTGTTCGTGTGCTTGCTAGACCCAATGAATAAATATCTGCTGTGTGCTGTGTCTGTTTTTTTAATACAAACTTCTTGTTATTTATTGTGACGCTTGGAGTAAGGGGGGGATACTACTGGGCATCATACACTTATTAATAATAACAACAAAAAAAGAGGCCGTTTTGTAGAAGACAAAGCAGGTTTTAGGAACCTTTCTATGAACTTGTTCTTCGTTGCATTTTTGTTTTACTCGACGTTCATGTGCATTATTATTTGTTGAAAGAGTATAGGGGTATAATACTAATTACTTTATGCCATAGTTCTCTTCAGTACTTACTTGAAAGTTTATTTCTTTTTAAAGTTGTGGTTGTGCATTGATCTGCGTCCATGAAAGTGGTACCAGGGGTGGTTGACGGCTTGTACATACGTGCACCGAATGCAAATAAACTGATATAACAGCGACCGAACACGGCGTTTGTGAACGTGTCTTCTGGTTGCTTCCAGCTCACGACTCCAAGACTCTTCGCGTGCGTGTGCTCGGTGCTATTGGCGACATCGCGCCTCAGCCGTTCCCGGCTTTCAAGACCGATGCGTGCAACTTCATGGGCGTCAGCTGCCCACTGAAGGCAGGCGACAAGTACACCGCCAAGTTTGAGCTCGCCATGTCCCCGACCTTCCCACCGGTAAGCAGCTTTCTGTGTCTTCGCACTATTTCCCATTGGTCGCTTACAGACCCTACACCATGTTAGTAAACAGGAGTAGGTGCCGTCGACACACCGAGGCGCTTATAGCGACGTCGTGGCGCGTAGGCTCCGCCCAGCCCAAGGCTTGCCACTGCCGTATATGATCACGTGACAACTGGCACAGCAGCTGCAAAGCTGCCTCCGAGCACAGCGCGAACGCGGGGAGGCTCCCACCGCATTGAGTTTGTCCCTGCGTTCACGGTGTGCTCAAAGGTGGGCTGGGTCAAGCCTACGTGCCAGGACGTCACTACGAGCGCTTCACTGTGTCGATGACAGCTACCTTTGTTTACCAACAAGTAAAAGGTCCATACCACCAGCAACTCTACGCAATTACGGGTGACGCTTAGAATTAAAAAAAAACTGGAGGCGAATCTATTCCTTGACTTGGCTCGACAATGGCACTCCGTCTTCCGGTTGTCGTGCCGGTGCGAATCTTGGAGGCTCATTCAATCAATTTTCATTAAGTGTTCCTAAGTTTCATTGAAAGTCGACTGCGAAGAGCGATAGCAAGACGCCGATAGCAAGCGAATGCAGGAGAAGCCAAGTAACTTCAATACTGCAAAGCAGCGTGAAGTGTTCCTGTTTCGTCGAAAGTTGTGTTATGAAAAAATATTGGTTCTATACGCATTAATGTGTTGAAGCAGAGGTGGTGTAATCGAAATTGCACGCCTGCTTTGACGCAATGTCGTTATATTAGTTTTTACTTATACGCATAACTTTGGTGTGCTTAGTCCCCGTAGAAATAAGTAGGTACTGACAGATTGCTATGGATCCAGAACCGTTGTTCACAAGTTGCAAAGAAAAAAAACATCAACAAGGAAACACATTCATTAGCTCATCAAGCATTCCTTGCATTACTTGTGTTTTATTATCTATGCTTTTCATTTAAGTTTGTACTCGTGTAACAGATAACAGGCTTTTAAAGGGCATTGTGCGACAAGGGCATCAATACGATGCATATTTGCTGGGAAAACAAAACATACAGAGACACTTTTTCTTGTGTATACGTTCAAGGTCGCCGGGAAGGCTGTCTTCAAGGGCCAAGATGCCACCGGTGAATTCTTCTGCTTCAAGGTTCCGGTGGAGCTCAAGCACTGAATTACCAATAAATATATGTCCTACCCGGTCGCATCTATATATGTCTACTTACAGCGTCTGGTTTTGATGTGTTTCCCTTAGCATGTGAACCACCTACATGTTTACAGCCAATGCGCACGCACGCGACATGCGTAACACGAGGAAAGCTACAACCAAATTACTACTTTGATAATACGGCATTGTGAGGAAAAACAAAAATAAAGAAAAGCTCTACAATAAAAGTTTGTTCAGAAAAGCTGAACAATGAAACACCACAATGAAAGTTTTTAACGAAGAGCAATCGTTCACACTTCCGTCTCTTTTTTTAACCCTTTATACGCCATCGCCAAAGTGGAGGTCGATGTGCAGCGCTATATACGGGTAAGCGCTGTAGTCTGTGCAGTACTTAATAGAACAGTGTGAATGTGGCCGCTTCTTTCATACTGAAAGGCTTCGAACTTACATGTAGCTCGTCAGCGTAAAAACCTGACCGAGTGCCGCGTTTGGAAGTGAGGGCAACATAAACGACGCGGGCAATACACGACAGCCCTCCACCCTATAACCTGACGAGGCACACTCGTTAACGATGATTGATTGATTGATTGATTGATATGTGGGGTTTAACGTCCCAAAACCACTATATGATTATGAGAGACGCCGTAGTGGAGGGCTCCGGAAATTTCGACCACCTGGGGTTCTTTAACGTGCACCCAAATCTGAGCACACGGGCCTACATTTCCGCCTCCATCGGAAATGCAGCCGCCGCAGCCGGGATTCGAACCCGCGCCCTGCGGGTCAGCAGCCGAGTACCTTAGCCACTAGACCACCACGGCGGGGCCTCGTTAACGATGCAGATATTAAATTAACGAGTGCTGCAAATGAACCAACTCGGCTAACGCTGAAGCTGTAAACGTATGCTCAGCCTGAGAGCATCGAAAGCGTAGATCATTACGTACAACCCTCGCAAGGGGGAACACTGCACCACCTATACACCCTTTGCCTCGTGGATGTGGCGCGGTTCGCATGATATACGAAGAGGGCCGTAGAGTGCGGGTAAAAACAAAAAAAAAGAGCAAAGAGCGAAAAGTGAGGAAGAGATAAAAGAATCTTCGAAAAAAATGCATTAGCCTCTCTCGCACCTCTGCGTCACCTGCCTCCGCTCTGACCCTCTTGAGCACGGAAAAGTCCAGACCACACGGCGCCACGTGTTCTGCGATTCCCTAAAAGGGCAATCGAAAGTGAAAGGAGAAGGGGTAGGGCAGAAGGCTGTACGGGAACAAGGTATCGAGAATAGCGAACAAAGCGAGCAAACACTCACGCACAGGGTTGCCAGTTCGGCCGGTGTGTTATGCTGAAACAATGCGGGAGTAGAGGTTTGTGGAGGGTCGCTACAATAGAGCCGGGAGCGATCGGCCGTTAATTGAAAACTGCCGGTTCGAGTGCGCGTGCAGCGATTCCCATCGTGATCAAGTGCTTAGTAGCGTTTTTGCCACACTCGCTTTGGTAATAAAAAAAAGTTATTTTAAAGAGAATCGCACTGAGCCTCGCATAGCAAAACGCCCGCTGCCACCCAAGCGGAATACCCACGGCTATTTTAGAGCTGCCAGCAGCAGCCGCGAAAGCCTGCACTTTTGAGTGCGCGCAGAAGCGGTTTCGTAGACGCCAGCGATACGTTCGTCAGTGCGTACTAATGAGGTGCACAATGTACAATTAGTGGCGCAACGTACGCCCTGGATTAATTTAATTGGCGGCCTTTACAGAAAGCGTAAGTGTTCGAAGAACTATTCTGGATGGTGTTACGATGCCTGTTTATGCAGCCACGTACTCGGAAAGAAATTGCGGAGATAACGAAGCCGATATAAGATAAAAGAACATTCGTACTGCAGCTTTGTTATTCGTTGGTAATGCAGCTCGCAGAGCCGGTGAGCCTCCTGTGTTGGCCCCATTTCGTGCGTGCACGTGTTAATTATACCAAGTTTGACCAATGAAATAGGCTGCGTGACCGCTAAATGAATACAGGACTCGTAGTTTTGCTACATAAACAAACAAAACACAACAATGTTCTCTCACGAATGCGCGCAAATTAAATCAGCATTGGTACCTTCATTTGAGTGTCTTGTTCGTTAATAATAATTTTTTTACTGATATAAATACTATGAGAGCCCTATTGGCAGTTCCGTCTGAGTGACATGTAAAGGACCTCATGCACACTTTTCAAGGACGGGGAAGAGGGGGATCATATGGAAAGAACGGAAATTATCCAGTACTCATGGCTACTCCGTTCTGGACAGAGGGGTAAAATCAATAAAGAAAATATGAGCAGGTATAAGAAAGAAATACCAAACGATGCAAAAAGAAAACAAAGTACTTTTGAAAGAAAATATGTCTATACAGCTGCACTTATCAAACTTCGGACCACTTTCTCGCAAATGTATTTTAGAATAATGCATGATTTCACTGCCAATTCATTTATGAAAAATTCAAGAAGGGGTGACCTTATGATAATAGTGTGATTAACGGCTATGGTAGGAAATTTTTTTTTTTTTTTGCAGGAAACAGACCGAGAATATCAAGCGAAAAGGTGAACAATAAATCGACTTTCCTGATATGCTCCTCGGAAAGGACACTTGAACGAAATTGCGCTGTGGACGCTCGTAATATGCTTAACTGCGTATCGTCGTTACTTTAGTTTCGCGAAGAAAGCTTCTTATTGGACAGGCTTTATGATTTGAAAGACAACCAATGCACAAAACTTCAGCGGCGTCGTTGTCTTCGCACGAGGAGAATGTATTTCTTTCCTCCAACCCCTGGTTGCTCCAGGGGAACCGAAACTAGAGTAACTCTGGCCATTGAAAAGAAACAAATAAGAAAATCGGTCGGGACATGGCACATTTCTGAAACGCTTGTTCCTTTTGTAACGCAGCATTCGGAAGAAACGTTTGGAGAAGTAATAAAAGAAGTTACAGTGACACAGTTGCTGTTCCCGTTTCTTTCTTCCAGCACGTTCTCAGCTAGGTGTCTTGCTACTTCGCAAAGTCTTCCTGATGAAAATTGCAGTATTTGGTGAAATGCTACGCGACACACACACACACACACACACACACACACACACACACACACACACGCGCGCGCGCGCGCGCGCGCGCGCGCACACGCACACGCACACGCACACACACACACACACACACACACACACACACACACACATGTGACCACGCGTGTTTTACGCCGAAAATCTGTTCTACCATTCTCGCTCCACCCCTCCTTCCCTCATCGCGAAAACATTTCTGAAACTCTTCGTCGTTCAGCTTAAAGCTAAATATTTAATAAAGTTCATTACGAGCATCGCTTATTCTCGTACTATTTGTACATCGACGCTATTTGTGGCGACGAGTATATAATCTTATGCAGTCAGTGCCGGTGTCTCATCCGTAATAGGAACCCAACCACACCTGCTAACCCTCACACTAACTCGAAGACATTCATATTCCAAATGTAAGCGTATTCGTACATCTGCATGCGCCCCACCTATCGGCCAACGAAAACCACAGGGAGATGTGAGAGCGCATACAAATATCTTGGTTATGCATGTACCATCCTATACCATAGAGATTTGGATCCTAGTCTAACACTCATGATGCCAGGAAAGGTAAAAATGAAAATTCTTTGGTCAAGAATGAAAAGCTCTGTGGTGGCGGGCGAGAAACGTTCCTTACATTGCTTTGCACTTAGCATTCTGTGTCGCTAGGGAGACCTTGGTTTTCGCCGATCGGTGGGAGGATGACGTCAAAGAGCACACAAGTAGAAAAAAAAAAGACATCTGGCAGATCACACGCATTGTGGGAATCGATCTCATCCGAAGCAATGCGCAAGTAGCTGCTTATTCCGCACTTCAAGCCACGTCTAACGAGCAGGAATGGCGTCATAGTGTAATTGAGTAGTTTTCAGGTATAACGGGACAGCAGAAAACACAGGACCGGATTGGTTGGTGAAACATGAGAGAGGAGTTTGCCCTGCAGTGGGCGTAATCAGGCCTATGATGATGATGATGTCGTAGACCTACAAGGCACGTGAACTCTGCACTGGCTTCTGAAGGATAGCTCATTGTCTGATGCAACGTGGTCACTAACGTTCGAACACAGACACCACCTTTCATTGAAACAAAGTACGAGTTCACTGGCGTATTCTTCGGTGAACGAGTGACGCTATAGGCTACAGTAGTTATGGGTGCATATGAGTAAGTTTCTGGGCAATATTAAAATCGCCGTTCGCCGTGGTGCTGTAGTGATTACGGTGATCGCCTGCTGACCCGAAAGTCATGGGTTCAATCCCAGCGGTGGCGGTCGCATTTTGATCGAAGTGAAATGCTAGAGGCTGACGAACTGTGCGGTGTCAGTTCACGTTAAAAAACGACAGATGGCCAAAATTTTCTGACGCTCTCAACTACGGCGCTCTTCATAACCACGTCGTGGAACTGGCCCCCGAAAAGGCTCTTGTGATTTTCCAAACAGTTTTGGCTCCCCCCGCAAAATGCCAAGAGCGGGAACGTTTTCAAGTGTTGCTTGCGAGGGCAATGTTTCACGTTCCATGATGCCCCGGTGCCGTGGTCTAGTAGCTAAGGTACTCGGCTGCTGACCCGCAGGTAGCGGGATTGAATCCCGGCTGCGGATGCTGCATTTTGATGAAGGCGAAAGTACTGTAGGCCCATGTGCTCAGATTTCGGTGCACGTTAAAGAACCCCAGGTGCTCGAAATTTCCGGAGCCACTCCCCCCCCCCCCCCCCACACACACACACTACGGCGTCTCTCATAATCATAGGGTGGTTTTGGGACGTTAAACCCCGCATATAAAATCAAGTTCATGTTCCATGTCGATCGCCTAGCTGTGCATGTGCGAGTATTGGGTTTTCGCGCGCAAGTGGCATTCATGCCCCACAAAGTGCTGTGTATGGTGCACGCATCGTGTGTGAGTGGGACTTGTACTGCAACAAATGAGCGAAACTATACATAACCGTGATGAACAGACAGGCATCGAACAGCAAAAGGCGTGCGTGTATTCGAAGCACATTAACTTGTAAAACAGAGGGGGGGGGGGGAGCAGGAAGCAATGTAGCAGCGCAGTGCTGCACTACAATACCGCAACAAGTGGCTCTCAGACTGCATCGCTTTTTTGAGTGAAACAGGTGGTTTGACACCATTCTAGTCAATTTTTGCTTTCCAAACTGGTAGTCGTCGTCAATATTGCGAGAGATTTCCAAGCGCC